GTTCATTGATTTGAGTTTTCATTGTTACTTGCAAAAGTGCTCTCCTCATATGTATATGTGTGTACTTGTGGGGTGGGGGGAGAGACTGGATTTTAATCTATTTATAGGCCAGGACTTCCTGGATTGTATTTTGTCAGCAATGAGAGTCATACTGCCCTTAAATATCAAATATACATGATTTGCAATTACAGTGACTTAATTAAGGTCAGTGGCCATGCATCATACACCTTAAGAAATGAATACTACAGCAACATGATTCCCAGTCATTCCAAAGTCTCATGGGACCATAGTTTCTAACTAATGGCCTGTTATAGTGTTCTGACCTAACCCTCAAAGTGTCAATAAATTGGATTATAATGTAAGCCATTTGAAAAGTCTTTGAAAGAAGACAGATGAATGTTATGCTGTCATGAACCTCTACTTCTGGAAAGTCTGGGTTCAGAAAAGCAGTCAGTTAATGCTTTTACTTTTAGCTGGTTCTACTCTATTGTACTTTCATTGCTATCAACCAATAATAATGTTTTCACACCCTCAGAATGAATGACTTGGGTGTGAAAGTTAAAAACAAGATTCAAAAAACACTTCAGTCTTGAAGCTCTCAACTCATTCAGTTTTGCAATCTTTGGCACCTTTGATTCTGTGGAAGATTTAGAATATCAGCCTGCTTCAGCCACAGTGTGAGCACATTTCCATATGGATGTGTTAATCAATTATGGAGGTGACTAACCACTACTGAGCAATTACATTTGGCAAAGAGAACAAATGGAAACATGGGGAGCAGTCATTCTTAGAGGTGTTCATTGTTGCTTCTCACCCAGAAGACAGAAGAGCTGAACGGAACTTTGCTCTGGGACATCTCTTTTTATTGATGACCCTGGGAATTCTTGCTCAGCAATTTTTTTCTCACAAATTGCTCAAGATACTTTACTCACTTAGCCATAAGTATTTCAAAATCTAGAAATGCCAAACCCTTAAGTTAGCAGAGACTGATACTCAATTGCATACATTTCTATAGGCTACAACATAAATTTATGAATTCCTATGTGTGTAGAAGTCTCTAGTAAAGCATCAATGATTCCTCCTCTCTTGAGGTAGGAGACCCTAGTGGGTCCCTGGTGACAATATTTATATGAGTGCAACTTTCCTTCCAGCTCTTTACTAAATAATTTTGGAAAAGTTGGCACCTAATCCAAGTTGAGCCAATGAAATATTCTTGACAATTTGAAATTTGGAACAGATATAGCTCAAAAAGGAAGTTATTTCACTAATGTCAGTATTCTTCAGAGCAAGTCAGGCACTTTTCACAGCTCAAGTTCCTAAAGCTGCCTTGATTCTTTCCGTTTTTGAGTTATAATGATCTCCGTGCTGAGATTATTTAACTTTCATTGGTTTTATAATGGGACTTGAGGCAGAAGTAAACTCGTCCAGGTGATAGGAGTTGACAAATCATCAGACCATGGGCAAGCCTCTGGTGTGATATATAGTTTCCCAAGGTGATTATCCATTAGATATTATATCTATTGATTGCTAAATGGATTGATCATAACAAATAGCAAATTCAGTAAATTCAGTTATGCTTTACAAAAGTTGTGGGGTTTTTTTTATCACTCACAACTCTAGGACCCATACCCATGAAACATTTGTTATTCACTTATAGACAATGCTTTATTGGCTTTCCATATTGCCTTGTAAAAATTCCAGAGCCTCACAACATGTGAATCTGTGGTTCAACAACAAAAGATTTCAATTTATGTCCTTATTCTGACATGATGTGTTTCACTTACTTGATGACACATGTCTGAAAATGAGGTCAATTAAGTGAGATATACTGACCAATAGGGCTCAAGTGATGCTCTTAAGTATCCCTAAAGCTCTTCAATAGTTCCACAAATATTTGATTTTTAAATATTGTAATTATTTTAAGCTGTAATAAGAAGCATGCACACTCTAATGCGTCCTATGCCACATTTTAATGCATTCAAGACCATCATAGCATTAACTTTTGCTACCAGATTAATTTATTCAGAGCATGAAGTAACAAGTAAATCTTCCCTTTAATCCAAGATTAAATACCTAGTAGAGTCACCACCTATGGATGTGTCTGAACCATTTGCAAAGATGTGATTGACTACAGAGGAGGTTCCTTCATCACCTGGGAGTTATTCCCTGACAATTCAAGGTAGCTCATGGCCAGTCATGTTTTTAGAAGTGTTTCCTTCTTTATTAGGATTTTTTGATACTATAAAAATAAAATACAGCACAAAAAAATGGTGCTGAGAGAAATTTAAGACCATAATTCTCAATGTAATCCTTGCTTTCAAATTTCTGTGCTCATTGAAATAGATGTCAACATTTGAATTTATAAGGTAATTTTATATTAACAAAATATGGCTTTCATTTTGTTTGTATTTTATATATTGAGGTTCTCTAGGAGATTTCACTTTATTAAAATTATTCTCAGAGGAAAAATATTTGAAAACCACCATTGTAGCAGAGTTACTCAACTTTGGCACTACTGACACTTTGGAATAGATAATTCTTTATTGTTAGGTGCTATTCTGGACATTGTAGGGAGTTTAGCAGCATCCCTGGCCTCTACGAACTGGATGCCAGTACCAAGCCTCCGCTCTCAGTCTGATGATCAAATATATGTCTCCAGATACTGCCAAATGTCCCCTGTGGGGAAAAATTATCCCTGGTTGAGAATTACTGGCTAAGTCATTGGATCATAGGGCTGGCCCCACTACTAATTTCTAGGGATTGTTCACATTTTTAATTCATAAGCAGCTATTAAACAAGGAATATAGTAAAGTAGATAGGTGATTTTTAAAGCATTTTAAATATTCATTGTGTTGTCTTATTGAGGGTGTTTGAGATGCTATGCAGGTCATAAAAATAATGTGGAATTGTATTTTCAGACAACAAAAATATTCATGATATATTATGAAGGGAAAAATCAATTCATATGATAATGGGAGCAGGAAGCAATAAGGAATCTAGTAAAATATTTTAATGTGCTAAATTCTAGAATATAATTAGTCTTTTTTTGAAAAATACTTTGCAGAAATTTTTAAATTGAATTTTAAAACTCCTTTTGCTCTTTTCTAATGCTCAAGTAAATCTAATTAAGTTGACCAACATCCTAAGAAAGGGAATGTACAAATATTAACCTTGGTAAACTTTCTCTCTTTTTTTTTTTTAATTTTGGTTTGAAGATCTATTTATTTATGGGAAAGAAAGAATGTGTGTGCAAGTTCAGGGAAGGGCAGAGGGAGAGGGAGGGAGAAACTCCATCAAATTCCCCGCTGAGCACAGAGCCTCCAAGATCATGACCTGAGCTGAAATCAATAGAAAGCCACTCAACCAACTGAGCCACCCAAGTGCCCCTAAACTTTCAATTTTTGTAAGGAAAGCCAGCGAGAAATTAGAAACAGTGTTTTTCCTAATAATGTTTTTAAGGGAATGTGACCATTAGCTTAACACAAATGACCAAAACAATAAGTCATCTTAGTAGCCACAAAAAAAACATAGATTTGAGAAATACTTTGTCAAATTTAAATACACTTCTGACAGGAGTGTAAACTGGCCCAACCTCCATAAAGGGTAAAGTGACAAAATACTAAGTGTACATACCATTTTTTCTAACAATTACCTTTCTGAAAATAGCAACAGATACAGTAATATATAGACATAATAGAGTATATTGGTATATTCAGAGCATCTTCTTCTGTAAAAGTAAAAAAGAAATAGGAAATAGTGTAAATGCCCACTGAAGTATGATTGGAAAAATAAGTTACGATATTTCCATACAGCTGAGCCTGCTCTAGTAAATTTTTTTAAGACAGCTTATTATTCACTGACACAGAATCGAATCCAAAATGCATTGTTAATGAAAACAAGCAAGATTCAGAACAGGAGACATGATAGGTTGCTATCTTAAGAAGTTTCCCCCTAAGAAGACATATCTGTGTCCTTTTGCATAGAATATTTATGGAAAAGGTCCAGTGTTGTAGCTCTTGGTGATTAAGGTAGAAAGGAAACATTGCTAAATTTGAATCTTTTGAGTTCTTTACATTATGATTACACATTAATTACTTCGTGGAGAAGGATCATGTAAATTTTTTTTAAAGAAGTATTTTGTTTGTCAATTCCAAAATGATGCCAAATGTCTGTAAGCATGGACTAGCCATGGGAATTTAAGTTACTCTCAGACTCCACATTCTAAGACACTTGTACAGGCAAGAGAAAATGGAGGTATAATGGAAACCCCAGTAGGATATCTAGAGTCAAGGTCCTGGGATTTGCATAAATAAATAACCTCAGTGGAGAGCAGAAGCTGGCAAATATGGTGTGAATACCAATCCTAGGATCATGTTTCTCTACTGGTTATATGCTACCTGCTGACTTAGGTAGATGAGGGTCTCAGAGATGAATCTGAGAAATCTCTCTAATAGTGGGGAATATGAAGCCCCAAATGTCATAGAGGAGGGGTTTTATTGTTCTTGTCATTTTTGTATTATTTTTGTATTATTAGGTTATAGCAGGAGAGGGAGATAGTTTTAATGCATCATGTTGACCTTCTTTCTCCTACACATAAGGCCAGACTCGCTGTAGATACTGTCACAGACATTGCTAGATGCTAGTAAATATAAGGACCATGGGGATAGTAACAGCTGTAACACAACCATCTTTGTGGAACACCAAGTAGAGGACGCCAGGCTAGTTTTGGACACATTCTCACCTTTACTCCTCATAGCCATCCTTTGTAGTAGCTGTTTTGATTGATGAGGAGACATAGGTTTATGGAGATAAATAAACTAGACCAAACTCACACACCTAGTGAGTAGCAAAGGAACACTTTAACTTAATCTGCTTACCTTCAAAAACTTTAATCACAAAATTTTGATGCCAACCAGTAAAACATGGTTTGGGCCTGGGAAGCCTGGAAATGAAAGTCATGATCCTTACAAAGCTGTCTTTTCTCTCTCTCATCCTGACAGGATCACAACCACAGCTGCATGTATGATGGATCTACGTAGATATCCTCTGGATGAACAGAACTGCACTCTGGAAATTGAAAGTTGTGAGTTACTCGGGCAGGGGAATGAGAAAGAGGGATGTTTGCTTGACTCCATTAAATTCAACCTTGCGCAGAGTGATTGGTACTGGGGATACTTTTAGCTATACCACCTTGCCAGCTTTTCAAGAGATTCACAGTCCAGTGACATTTTCTCTCATATTGGTGCTCAAGGGTCATTTCTATGCAGTTATATTTTTAAACGATTAGAGAAAAACTCACTTATTTTAGCTGGACAATTTATGAACTCATGCTTTCTCCTTAGAATGGAGTTTTCCCCCAAGGCTTTCTAATACCCAGTTGCATTAATAAGAGAGGAAAAACATTTTAATATGAAAAGACCTTGTGAGATTGTTTTTGGTTCTATAGACTGTGCACCTGAATGACTGTAAATTGCTGTCTTCTAGAAAACAACTATTTTAGAATCTTGTGCACATTTGTCTTTCTTCATGGAAAGAACAGAATGATAAATGGTATTCATGAGACTTGTGCTTTGGGCCAAAGAGTTGATGTTTTTCAAATCTAGTGACTGATTTTTGTTTGCCTTCTTGGGTTGTTTTTCATTGATTGCTTTTTTAACAATTAAAATATTTGAGTCATTAATATTTAATCTGATTGACTATCATTGTTTCTCAGGCATCAACATGCAGGTAGTTGAGCCCGTTTATTGTGAATACCAGGTCTAGGCAATTTCCTGGTTTTCAGGGGACACAGAAGAGTGCCAGTAGGCAATTCAGAGCATTATAATACTGCTTACTGTAATGTGAGAAATACCTGGATATTTATTTAGATAATCTGAAATAGTTCTAGATCTAAACTTCAAATGGCAAAGGAAAATTTCAGGTGACCCTATAGTATAATTAAAGAATAAATGTATTCACAGGTAAATGATTATTAAGCAATTACATTAATTTTCTAGTTTTACTACATATAGGCATGGAAATAGAGATGTTTATGTAGATAAAGCTGTATATTTAGTCATACACATTGATCTACTCCTACTAGAACTTGGAATGAACAAGATCATTCATGAGCTATTCTTTAATTAATATTCTAATTTTAAAATATGTCATATAAATAAATTGGCTGAAAGATCCTAATACAAGAAAGTATTTTTTTTATAATTTTTTATTTATTTATGATAGTGAGAGAGAGAGAGAGAGAGAGAGAGGCAGAGACACAGAGACACAGGCAGAGAGAGAAGCAGGCTCCATGCACCGGGAGCCTGACGTGGGATTCGATCCGGGGTCTCCAGGATCGCACCCTGGGCCAAAGGCAGGCGCCAAACCGCTGCGCCACCCAGGGATCCCTACAAGAAAGTATTGATGGTGACTTTTGGTTTAAATGCCAGTGACAACCAATTCAAATCACAGAAATGCAATGTGAACCCAACTATTTATTAATGGCTAATGACGTTTAATAAATAAGACTGAACTTCAGCTTTTAGAACTGACATGGCATTAATTACTCATTTATACAGGTTGACCTCTCTTCCATTGATTCTACTGATTGTTACCTTCACTTCTGTGCCAGTCAGCATTAGGATATGACAACCTCTTGAAATTCCAAGATTTTCTGGTGTATACCATTCACTTAAAGAAGTAATGAATTTTGACAAGTACTTGAATTGTTTCTGTGTTGTAAATTTCAAGTCCTGAAATTAACGGCATTTTCTCACAAAATGTATATCTTATTTTATAATCCATAAAAAGTTTTTCTGTTTTCATAGGCTTATATTTTTCTTAAAGAGGGGGAGTTTCTTGGTTCGTGCTTAGAAAAGAGTTGACTTTTAAGTCAATTTATCGTATCATATAAAGACCCAAACAACAACTGCAAATGAGGCAGAAATCAAAAACAACTTTTGTGGGGCAGGGATGGGGGAAGCCCAAGCAACCTGATAGTCCAAAGTTATCATAAAATATGATGTCGGGCAATAGGTGGGGTGACCCAAGCATATCATAATCATTGAGACAACTGAGTTAGATGGAATAAGTTGTCTGGACAGATGGATAAGGCATAGTTACTAGGACCCTAAAATCAGTAATATGTAGGAATGCAGGCAGGTGGTGACCATCATCAAAGAGATCTGATAGCAATTCACAGAAATCTAGTCTCTAAAGATATTTACCTAACGTAAAGCAAAAACTCAGGCATGGAGAATTTATGCTATGTAGAGTCTATGAAGGCAGGAATCTGGGAGAAGGGGAGGAAGAAATGGAACTGTCTTCTACTTGCCAAACAAAAGCTAGACATTAATATAACACCTCTGTAACATAAGTGTTTCTAACAACACTTGAGAGAGTATGTACCTGAGGATCAGAGAAGTAAAATAACTTACCCAGGACCACAGGACAAGGATAGTGGTAAAGTGGGAATTCAAACCCAAACAATATACTTTCCATCACAGAATCCTGCACTCCATAGGTGAGCAAGGAAGCAGAACATCAATGATTAGAAGTGTAACACCAATTGGAACCACTTTCAGCGAGGTTGAGGTTGCTGAATCAACCAAAGAGTGCTTTGTATTTCCTGAAATTATCCCTGATAAAAGTTAGAATAGATCTCAGAAGCTGAAGCAGAATTTTGCTTGCCAGTCAAAGGTCAAATGATTGCAACTATGGAGGGAGAGGATAGTTTGTGGATGAAGGAAAGCAAGTTCCTTGATTCCATTGATGTTAACCTAAAATTTTTTTTAAAGCCTCAAATGATGACACTGCTTACCTTAATATTTTACTTAAAGTGTATTCCTTTTTAATTAGCCACTGCAAAGAGATTTTAAATCTTAAGAGTAATAACTTCCAAGTAACTAAGTAACGTATGGCAATAATACAGAGTTTGAGCTCTGCTTGTTTTTACCTATGTACATAATTGATATGTTGCTAAGTAGCAATAAATAATGAATCTGTCAGTCATCTATTTTTTAACTCTTCATGAAGAGACCTGTGTTGCATTATTTGCTGAAGCACCTCTCTCTGAACTGAGTTTATGAAGACTGTAACTGAACTTTAAAGCGATCACAAATGAGAAGCTCTAGTATTAGGTGGGACATAAGAATGATAAAGTAGACATCCCGCCAATGTAAGAACTGGACAAATCACACTTTTGTGGCCAATAGAGTGGAAACTTTACCTACCCTACAAAATTTACTGGCTTATGTTCTCTTCTATCACCATCCCAAGGATGGGGAGATGTTTTCCTTGGTTAGATCCTTTGAGACAAATTAAAGATGTTTTGCTTTACTTTAATGTTATCTCGTCAAGTAAAATTGGAAAAGCCATAAAGCCTTGTAAAATTGAAATTTTACTTGAACTTGGAGCACATTAATAGCTTCTTGGCCCTGGGATGCTATAAAATGAGTTAATGGCACATAGAAAATTCAATCAAGGAATTTAGTATTAAGAGGATTTGGAATTTGAAATCAATAAAGCTATCATGTGAAGGCTTGATAGCCACAAGCTTCATAGAGATGTGGAAGGGGCCTGGGGGGTGCCTAGGGAGCGCCTGGGGGGCTCATTTGGTTAAGCATTTGCCATTGGCTCAGGTCATGATCCCAGGGTCCTGGGATGGGATGGAGTGCTCTATCAGGCTCACTGGGCAGCCAGGAGTCTGCTTCTCCCTCTGCCCCTCCTCCAACTTGTTCTCTCTTGCTCACTCACTCACTCGCTCATTCTGTCAAATAAATAAATAAAGTCTTTAAAAACAACAACAACAAAAAAAAGAAAGCGCTTGGGATACAGTCATGGAGGATTCAGGTGCCTTTTCCCATTCCCTGCAGCAACAATTGAGGAAAATCTCGATCCTAATCTTAACTTCTCAGTATCAGCAGATAGTGTCACCTCTTACTATATCCCAAAAAGGTAGAAACCATTTGATGCCTGGAATCTCCCAGTGGTCTCATCGGTCTTCTTCTAGACTCCCTTATATCTTCACCATGCTGAGTTAGCCTCCTATATTTCAAAGGAAGAGGTATTTTATTCCTTGAATGGATTCCTGACCCCTGTGTTCAGGATTCCAACTCTTATTACCTCTGGGAATTGATTTTCTCAAGTTCACACACATCTCTACCCTGCTCTCCTAGAGCCTTTGCTTCACCCAGTCTACTACTCTCTTCACAGCCTGAAAACTAGACAATAACTCTTCTCATCATGAACACCTCTACTATATGCGCACATCTCTCTTTAGGCTTTTCCTAATCTTTCTGCATTCTTTTTCTCCAAATCACTTGAAAGATTGGTCTATATCTCTTGTCTATTATCTCAACTTCTTCTTAATCCCTATAATTTAGAACCTGCCTACCCATCTCCTACCTCCACTGACAGTGTTCTCAGAAAGATTACAAAGGACCTTTCTTTATAGAGCATCTTTATTTTAATAATCCCCAAATTTATAATTCCAGCTCAGATCTCTTCGAAGCCCCAGACTGATACATAGCACTCTTCTTGGCATATCTATCCTGATGTTTCAAAAACATATTTAATTTAATTTGCTCAAAACTTAACTATCAATTTTTCTCTCCCAAATGAGCTTCCTTTCTAGTCTCTTAATCTCATCCAGGATTAATGGTTAACATTTCCCACACATTCCTCCCATTCCGTCTGTTGTTAAGTACCATCCATTCTACTTACAAGATATTTATCAAACCGTTCCACCTCTGCCAGCCTTACCACAACCAAACCACCATTACTTCTTACCTGAATCATTATAGCCACCTTTTTATTGGTCTTCGTGCTTTCACTCCTCACTGTCTCCAAACCATTCTATTCCCAGCAGCCAGAGTGATCTTTGCAAGATGTAAATTGAATTGTATTCCTTCTATGCTCTAGAAATATCCAAAGATGTCCCATTGCACCAAGAAAGCTCTTATATATCTTAATATATAAGAATATTGTATTTCTTAATATAACCTTAAAGCTCCTGTGTGACCTGCTCTCCCTTGATATCTCCATGCTTATCTATAGCCATCTTTCCCTTATTTACTACACTAAATTCTGATGCTACAGATTCTT